ATGAGGAAAATATGAATCCTACCCTCAGGGATCTTTCAGTCCAGGTAAGATGTGAACACAAATAACAAAGATAAATACAAGATAGTCTTTGGTGTGTGCCATAATACAGGAAGCACAAAGGAAAGATTAAATCCAGCTCCAGAGAGGAGGAAACGATATTGGAGAAGCCTTGCAGACTAGTAGCCTCTGACACGCACCTTGAAGGGTGTAAAGTATTTCAAGAGGTGGGAGAGGAAAAAGGAGGATGGAAGAGCCTGTTTGACTGCCTGACAATAGGTGAATTCCCAATGTTGCCAACCTGCATTGGACTAACCCATGCTAAGGGGCTAAATGGATGGAATTCCTAAAGGTCATGGCATTGGGGGAAAATTGGAAACACACAATGTGTTGTTACTAGAGTCATGGGGTAAGACCAGAGCAGAGAATCAGACCCTGCTCCTTTTCCATCCTTAAAAACGCCAGTTGTCACAGATAACTCAGCATTCTTTGGCTCATACGTGAGCAAATCCAGTGCTGTCTAGCCTGGCCCCCGGGTGGCACTTCACCTATGCCAGCTACTATAAAAAACAGCATGGTGACAACACTTGGGATTAACAGCCTAGGGTTTGAACCACTTGCCTTCATCAATTTTACCTGCCTTCCACATTCTCTCTTACTCACTTTACTCCAATTTTTCAATATTGTCTGCCAGCATCCCAACAAGAATCTCGGTTTACCATTCTACTACAGCAGATCACCTGCTTTGATCATCCTATCTCAGTTCAACCAGACCTCAGCTCTAGGCATCCTACCCTGGTCATGTTGTCAATCAAATTTGAATCAGGTTCTTCTGGGTTCAAAGAGCAGGAGCAGATCCCAAATGCAGTTCAGGGGCTGTTACCATGCTGCCCAAATTATTCCTGATTGCCTATGGAGTAACTTGATGTTTAATTTTAAAATCTTCCTTTATTTTACAGTAATACATGTCTTCGTCCGTTTTGTGTTGCTATAAAATAATACCTGAGACTGAGTAATTTATAAAGAAAAGAGGTTTATTCAGCTCACAGTTCTGTAAGCTGTACAAGAAGCATGGCTCCTACATCCGCTTGGCTTCTGGTAAGGTCTTCTGTGATGAGTCAAAACACATCAGAGAAAGTCAAAGGAGAAGCAGGTATGTGCAAAGAAGGGACAAACCTGGGGACACCAAGCCATTCATGTGGGATCCATTCTCATGATCCAAATATGCCCCACCAGGCTACACCTGTAATATTGCCACTCCAGGGATCAAATTTCAGCATGAGATTTGGTGGGGACCAATAAACCATATCCAAACCATAGCAGCATTCCAGAAGATATAATACGCAATTTTGGAATTTGCTTCACAAATGTATTCAAACTGAACAGACTATCAAGAGTGCTTTAAAAAGTCATTTGAGAAGAGATGCATGTTGGTGCCCTTGCTTTGGAAGGAAATGTGAGATGTTTTACAGAACCACAGGCATGAGGTCAGAGACTGAGAAAAGCTCTTAAAATTACAGGTGTCCTCCATAAACACAACCGTCTAGGCCATCTGCTCTACGACTTACAGGATCTATTATCAGCGATGTCTCCTGGTGGTACTCTCCTCCACTGTTCAGACTGTCTGTCATTGTGTGAAACAAACATACTAATTGCTTAGTGAGCAAATGGTGCAGGCTAGATCATTTAGGAAAAAATCACTGGAAACTGAGATCTTCAAGTCAATAGCTGTAAAACATAAAGGATCCCTAGCAATAGAAGAGCGCGAAGAAAGCTTTGCCTCTCTCTGTCTCAGTTTCTTCCTTTGTGCACTGGGGCTAAAAATGGTGCCCAATTCATGGAGATGCTGTGAGGAATAAATGAGCTAAGACCTGCAGAGCACTTGAAAAACAAAATGTGTCACATAATAAGTACTCAGTAAATGTGCACACAGGGCAAAGGAATAAAAGGTCGGCCATTAATCTTTCCAAGGCAGCTGTATTATTGGAATTAATACCAAAGGCATTCATTTCAGTGGTAAGATTGCCCCATCTGAGTGACGTGGGAGTGATGGAGGCTGAGCGGAATTTGATTCCCACCTCTCTTCTGCCCCAAAACCACACACGAAGAGAGATGAGAAGCCTTTCTAAAGAAAGAATACTTCCTCTATGGTAATAGCCTCAGCTCTCCCCTTCACATCCAAACCGACCGCCTGCACTGTGACTGCCTCATCTACGAGTGTGTTTTTTTTAAAATGACCACACACCCCAGGAATCCCTTCCTTGGCTGGTCAGGTACCTCAGGCAAGCTCAGACTCTGCCACCTCAGATCACAATCAATAAGGAGATTGGGAAGTTTACAGAAGCCTCACCTCGAGGCACTTACAAACCTTCAGTGATCACTCCTGAACAGAATCAGATAAGTGCTATTTAGCTTTATGTTTCTGCTTTAAGAGAACACACACCAATAAGCTCACTCCATAAGAGAAACCCTAACAATGCCGAATGTCTTGCAATGAGGATATAATACTTTTCACCTTCTCTTCCCTGATTTCCTAGGGATTTCTGCCTGGAATCTAGAGTGAAAGCATATCCATCAGCTGCTGCAGGGGACGGCTGTAAAGGCCAAGAGTGCTAATCCCACTGAATCTCCACTGTATATCAGACTCTGCTGAGCTTTTTTCTATCAATTAACAAAGTCTCTAGATGTTGATGTTGGCTTCCATTTGTACTTTCTCAAGTGAGTCTGGCTTTGGGCTATTAAACAGAACATGTGTAGTAAATCCTTAATCATATGGAGATTAAGTCTGAGGGACTGAGGAAGGGGTTTCTGTTAGCTCCTGCTGACTCAGCAGGGGCTTTCGTGTATCCATTTTACTGGTGAAGAAACTGAGTCTCAATTAGGTTAAACAATATCTGAAGGTTACACCAATGCTAAGCTCACAAGTCAGGTGGATCAAAACTGCCATCTGCCAACTTCAAGTTCAGCACTGTTCTCCTTCCACTCCTCCCTCCTCCATTCGCCCGAGCAACTGTGGTTCACACAGGAACAAAACAAAAGGCAGAACAGAAAGTGGTCACCAGAGTTCGTCTGCAGGGGTCTGTCATGGAGACGAATTCAGGCTGGAAGCACCTGACCTATGGTTAGGTGGAGCTCTGCTGATCATTTTTGATGCAGAGAGACTTTTTTTTAATGTCTCTGGTGACTGCTTGGTCCGGCATAAAGACAGATGGAGGTACATGATAGGCCAGCAACAGTGGCAAGAAGACAAAGTGAGTCAGTGCTTTAGGAATGAACCCCAAAGGGTTCTCTCTGCTTTCTTTCTCCAAGTGGAGTGACCATAGATCAACAACCAACGTGGGGAACCTGGAAACAATAAAAGCAAAACTCCTAATGAGCACGCTGCATTGGAATCTTGGAGAAGTACCAGGGGACTCCAGCCAGGTCAGCGCTCACTGCCCTGGTCACAGGGGGGAACCCCTAGACAAGGCAGGCTTGGATGAGGAGTCCTGGAAAGGGAGCATCCTGCTTTCTGGGGGCAGACAATGAGGATGGACCGCAGAGCGGATATTCTGGGTGGAAGCCAGATGTTTGTACAATCATGACAATAATGCATGGTCTCTATCTGTGCATGCCTCTCCCTCTGCTAACTGAATTTTGTTCCATAAACTTGTACTTCAAATGCCAATAAAAGATTTGCCAATCCCTGCCTATCTGGAACAGGCATTCCCGGGGAACAGAAGAGGAGATAATAAACCTAACCCAGGGCTCTGACAGCGGTTCACAATGGCACACTTGTGGCAACATAATCCTGTAGAGATGGTACTCAACACTTCCCAAACTTTGGTTTTGTAGCCCGGTGTGTGGACTTGGCTGCCTGCCAGCACCTCTCCTCCTCATGAAGTGGCAGTGTGAGCTGCAAATGGAACTGGGGCCGCAGAGCTGATGAGTGATTTAATTGACTGCTCATGAAAAGTGGACTTCTCCATAGATTCATGGGTAAAGAAAGATGTTACATTTAAACCCAGAAATTTTTCTGCCTGCTAAGAAAAGCAACAGAATAGATAATTAAAACAGTCCTTTTTAAGAACTCAGAAGGAAAAGACAGCCCAGATGAAAGGCTGGCTTCTCATCCTAGGCTCTTTTTCTATCCCTCTTTGTTATTAGAGGTTAAAGCTGTTAGGCATGAAGTCTGGCCCACTTCAAAAGCTGGAGGACTTGCCTTAAGGGGTCATGATTATTTTAGTTCCAACCTTCTGTAGTATCAGCCACGGCATAAGAAGCGAAAATGCCTAGAATTGAGGATTTTTTTAATGACATTAAAAATATACAAGGTATAAAACTGTAAAGTACACAAGGCATGAACTCTAAAATGTAAAAAAAAAAAAAAAAAGGTGTGTCAGTACTATGATAAAATGTAATGGAGAAGAAACGTAGAAAGCTTGATCTTGTGTGAACACCAGAACACCACTTTACTTTAATGCCTTTACTATTTCTTTAGAAAATATTTATTTACTATTCCTTCAGGTTATTCATCCTGCCTATTTAATGTCAAAGCAGCAACACTGAAAAAAAAAAGTTACACTGATAAAATTCCATCTATTTCATCCAGACCCAGGATGGGTGTTTGAGCTGGTCTATCTTTGTGTAATGGATGGAGTAAGGGAACATTTTAAGTGAACAAAATTTGGACACAGTACCGCAAATTTGTAAGGAAATGCTCCTATTTATGTGTTTAGGTATTCGGCAAATTATTAGGTTTTCAGTAATTATTTTGTAATGGGATCCGTCTTTTTGTAGAGGCATTATCATTCTACATATATAAATTTTCACATACTGAGATTTCCTACAGCGAGGTAGGCCTGAGTTTTATCATCTTATTACTTCTGATTGGCTTGATTTTTGTAAGAGTCTTGTACAATTTGTACTGCTAGTATAAAACATAACTACACGGGGCCTGACCCCATAAGCGAGCAGAGAATAAACTGGAGGCCACTGGGGTACAATTCGGTATATTAACTCACCCCTGATTTATATTCCAGCCTAATGGAATGAAATCACAGCTGGGTGGAGAGAAGACGGTTTCCTGCCAGTCCATGGGGCTGCCCAGGCAGGATGAAAACGGACCGGACGGGAGCATCCTGGGCAATGGCTAAGGCTGAGCATGCGCGGAAGGGTTAAAGCGCTCCGGGCTCACCTAGAGTCGCATAGGCGCACATGCGCACCAGCCGGATTGTAGTGCTCAGTAGAAATTTAGCTGCGGGCAACACAGATCCAAAAAGAAGGAGCTTTCAGAAAGGAATTTATTTCTCACACATAAACGGGCAATTCAAGACTGTCGGGTGGCTCCTCCTTTATCTGGGACTCAGGGTGCCTCTGTCCTTTCTCTCCTCTGTTGCTGGGACATGATTGCCACCCTCATGGCCCAGGATGTGATACCAGCAATCATTCCACTTTCGAAGCAATGTTGCATAAGACAGTCTATGGGAGGAACTTCATACCGTTATATCTGTTCTCCTTTCCCAAGCTAGTGGAAGCTACGTGGCCATCTGAACTAAAAATCACATTTCCGGTGCTGCAACTAGAACTTCTGGCTAAGGGGACATGAGGGAGTTTCCTGGCTGTTTCATTAAAGGCAGTGTCTGCAGGCGGCTTCTCCCTCCCTTTCCTCCATCTTGGACAATGAGGTCAAAGTCCCCTGGGACCTTCACTGGAGCCAGGACACCAGCCCCACTCTGCCTATAGTAAGGCTTTTGCTTACGCATGAAATGAACTTCTATCTTTTTAGCCACTGTCCTTTGAGTCTCTGTTGAATGCTGTGGAACTAAATCTTATCTAATACACCCATCTTAAGGGAAATTTCATGAGAGGAGAAAAATCGGCATTTTAATTTACTTGAGTCCAGTGGTTAGCCCAATAATCTGACCACTGGCCCTTTTCATTTGTGCATTTAATACACATTTATCTAGTATCTGCAATGTGCCAGGCCCTTAAGGTGATGCAAAATGAGAGTGCCCTCATCCCATCCCTCAAGGAACATCATAGCAAATGGAAGACAGAAAGAAGGGATTAATGGATTGAATGATAGCGATATGCCAGGTACTGCTGTCATGGTTTTCACATAGTGGTTTTTTTTTGTTTGTTTGTTTTTTTGTTTTTTTTTTTTTTTTTTTTTGCATTTGCTTCTCATAAAATGTCTGTGTGATCCTCATCTGATAGAAGTGGACTTTAAAGCTCCAAGAGGTTATAGAATTTGCCCAGGGTTACACCTAGAATAAGGGATGGAGTCAAAATTTAAGTTCAGATTTCTGACTCATGAGTCAACGACTGCACCAGGCTGCTTCATGGACATGTACAGGAAAAACAAGAATACGTGACTCTATGTGACAAGTGCCCAACACATCAAATGCCTTAGCTGATGTGTAACTAACTCCTCTGAGAGGCCACTCAGATATCATAGTTTTTCCAATGTCACTATGTGTCTTACATCAAGCAAGTATAGTCTTATTCCTACCCACTCTGTAGAGAAGAATAAACTCATGTAGGATCACCATGCCTACATCATGGACACAAAAGTGTCACCTTACAGGTTCCATTACTATGACTACAATCTGTAATTTTATATATTTTTTAATGTCTGCCAAAAAAAAATCACTGGAAAACTCCCCTTCTGACTATCATTTTTGCCTGCTCATTCACTTTGGTTTCTAGCCTTTTTCCCTTGGCTCATTTCTCTCCCCACATTCCACACACACAAAATAGCGTTTGTGGCCTGTATTTCCCCTCATCCAATGGGTTTATTATGTGTAATCTACCCTGAAGCATAAAAAGTAGCCTGTCCAGACTCTTGCAGAATTATTATGCCATCTCCTAAATCATATCACACCTTCTGCTAAAAATACCCAGCAATTATTTTACCATTTGCAAAGGTAAACCAATGTTCAAAATTCCAGACACCCAAAAAAGTCTAAATGGGATCCATTGTTTTAATCAATCAAAGCATTTTTGTGTGCCAAATTATAATACCAATTCTGAATGATCACTCAACACATGGGCAGAGCCTGACTTGCCTAGCCACTTTAAAGGTAGTGAGAAAAGATGACAAGCCTCTTTTTTATACCAGTCTGAAAGACTTGTCCTAGAGCATTATCTGAATTCAACCCAGCAGAGTTCCTTGTCAGAAGTATCTTTGAAGAAAGGAACTATGATCTTTTATTTTTTTTGATGGTTACTAACACTAGCTCATGAAACTAACAACCTCCAAATCTCACTGACTTCATAAAATAAAGGCTTATTTCTTGCTCACATCATCATCCAGTTGGGTTTTCAGTGGTCAGCCTTCAATGTGGTGATTTGGGAACACAGGCTCCTAACATCTGTTGGCTCCTCAGAGTGGTTCCTCTGCATTTGGCTAAAAGAAAGAGATGTAAGAAACTATGAAATATTCGGCTGCTGTTCCACCATCAGGCTTGGACATCACATCCTGTGTAACATGTTCCATTATCCAGAACTTAGACCCCATAGCCCTAACCTAAGTAGCCTTGCGGTGTGCACTGGACAAGGAAATGGGGCTGGAGAACAAAGAGCCAGTTTCTGCCCCACGTTTGAGGACAACACTGTAGAGGTTGGCTTCACCAACCACGTCAGATGATTGGCATGTGTTTTCTCATGCCCTCAATTGCCTGGATGCAGGTATGTCCAACAAAAATGATTGGCCAGCATCCTCTGTGAAACACAAAGAAAAGGGGAGGTCCTGGGCATAAATATGCAACCCCCAGTGGTCATGTTTTCCAATAAGCTTGGATTTCTGTTGATATCCCTGCCCGCCATTCCCTACCCATCTTTAGTGCCACCCCAACATGACATTCTACAGTTCTGGGAAGTAGAACAGTGAGCCTTTCACCCCTGCAGATAACAGACAAAATCCATGAACCTTTATCCAGATAAGAGGCTTTTACTCCATGAGGATGACTTTTGTTTGGACTGAGTATCCTGTCTTCAGAAGGAATTCTCTCCTAAGACCATCAAGATCATCAAGAAAGAAGCCTTTTTTAAGTCAGCACTTTGTATCTTTATTAGAGTTGTAATGGAAAATAAGCACAAATGTGTGTTCTTCTAGAGCATGGGATAGAAGCAGCAGCAATGAACTCAAAATTTAGCTATGGTTATACGGTAGTCATTATGGCCTTTAAGTCTGTCCACAAATACTCAGGTTCTCTTTCTACAGACAAAGTGAGATTGTACTTTTCTGACATCTTTGAAGTTAGCAGGGCCTTAGGACTTGACTTGGCCAATGCAATGTGAGTGGAAGTGACATGTCATATCCAGATAGAAACCTGAAGAGCCAGTGCTTGACTCATCATGTTCCTGTCCTCCTTCCCTGCCCCAACTCTGTCATGATCTGGTGATAACTTTCCCACAGGCAGTAATCACAGAATCTCTTTTCCATAGAAACCCTTGAGTCTGGGTCCCCAAGTTACCACCATAATCAGAGGTCCCTAATGACTCTCAATGGACATGTAGCATGAGAGAGAAAAAAATTTTACTTCATTAAGTCACTGAGAATTTGAAGAATAAGCCAATGAGACATATAGGTCCCATGTGATTTGTTTTTAGTCATACTCTTCCATGTACTCATATTTTGTTATAAAAATTTCACACTTGCAAATTATATATAACATACCTGCCTAATTTTTAAAATGCACACATGAACCTACAACCCACTTTCAGAAATAGAACATGATCAGTTCCTTCAAGCTCCACTGGTGACTAACCTCGACTGATTGCCTCTTCCCAAAAGATGACCACTATCTCACTTTGTGTTAATAATTCACTTGCATTTCTTAATCATTTTATCTCACATCTAGAATCTCTGTGCTTTACACATTGTTTAACTTTATGCAAATGGAATCTTCCTGTATGTATTCTTCTCAAACTTACTTTTCAATCTAATATTAAGATTCATCCATGCTGATGCATGTAGCAGAATACTATATTGTGTGAGCATAAGAAAATGAATTTACTCTTTCTCTTATTAGATGGTCATTTGGGTTTACTGTTTGGGATTTTTGCTATTAAAAACTACACTAATAAGAATATTCTTGCATATATTCTAGTGCATATAAACAATAACCTCCTTAGGGTATACACCCAGGAGGGGAAATGCTGAATTGTGTAGTATTCAGATGCTCTACTTTATGAGATAAGATGAAATTGTTTTCCAAAGTGGCTGTGCCAATTCACACTTCCACCAGCTTGTATAAGTGTCTTTGCAAAACACCCTCACCAACACTTGGTATTGTTGGCCTTTTTCTCTTTTTGGCAGTGTGGTGGCTGCAAAATGGTATCTCGTTGTGGTTTTAATTTGTATTTTATTTAGGGCATACCTTTCATCATATATGAATTGAAGAAACCAAAATGAGAAACATTTGAAACATTTTACCACCTGTATCCCTAAAAACCAGAAAAACTTCACAAATTAGGCCCCTTCTTAGAGGAGAGGCTGAATAACTGGAAAAAGCACAGTTATTCATTTTCTGGATATTAGAAAATACCAAAGGGCTTATGCTACTGTTTGTGTTGTAGGTTAAACAGCTATTTCTTAAATGGCTCATCCTAGGGGGTATTATCAAAAGCTGTGAGAAAAGCAAATACATTTCAGGGAAATCATAAACATTCCTTTTATCTTACCAGATAAAGAGATTTAGTATAAATCCTAATGCACCCACTTGGCTGTAGACAATTTATAGCAGAGGAAGAGTTTGAAACACTTTCATGTAAACAATCCTAGATTTTTTTCCCTGAAGGTTGCTAAAAGGCTGTTTGACACTCTTTGTAAGTGGGGAACATCTCAGAGTAAGAACCTGTTCTGGTTAATATCAGAACTCATTTCCCACTAGCAAAGCAGCTCCATTAAGCACTGTTTTCATCTCTGCAGTCTTTACTTTTATGTAATGTTTACATCATTGACACCTTCTCTTAGTGAATCCCTTATATAAACAAGGGGTATATTTTAACAAGATTTAAATACATTAAGCCCTAATGTATTTTAACAAGATTTAAAAGGATGTGGCCTTGGGATGAGAATAGCCAAATGGAGTACAGACTAAAACAAAAGTTGTATAATACTTCCATCTC